TGACAGCCTGACAGCATGCCACTTAGTCATTACAACTTTCACACATGCATAGATGTTTGACTCCGATTTTGGGATTGCATCAGAATGTATTTGTTCTGGGGTCTACTCATTTTCGGGGACTTTAGGCTAAGAAGGCCAAATAATATATTCCTCTTGCTAAATGAGTTTGAGGTCTGTAGTTTAATTGACAGACCAGGTTTTTTCCACTTGGATTCATAGCCCAAGAAGTGTAAAATGCACAAGGCATAAATCCAAGCGAAAAAAAAAAAAGGTTCCATAACTTAAAGTACAGACTTAGAAAACTAGGTTAGTCATATATTAATAATATTTTTGGGTGGAGAAGACCTAAACTCAACCAGTAGGTGGTACAGAGAAATATACCCTGCTAAATTGACCAATCAAAGCACATGAAGCAGCTGAGAATCTATAATAAGTTACTTTAGATTGCAAATAGATTATTTTAATCCTTTACATCCTAACATCAGCATTCATATTCTCCATACTGTTCTCTGTACATCTACTAAGGTGCTGACAAGGAGAATTCATCTAACAGTCAAGGGTTTCTTTAGTTGGAGATCAATTCCTTTATTCTCGTGACATTGATGTGTGGTTCAGAGGTGATATTGTAAGGAGAAATTAGATGCTAGTCACTGTTAGGGGTTAAAGGGTTAAAGTAAGTAAAATAGCTCTTAATTTTATCAGGAATACCACAGGAACAGCATGTCCCAAGGGAAACAACAACAACAACTGGTGGTGAGTAGAGTTCCACAGTTAGTTTTTTAAATACCTTTCATGTCCAAGATCTTAGTATTTATTTAGGTCATTGCTCTATCTTCCATATATTTCCTACTAACAATTTTAGCTCTATTGATTTGGATTTAAATCCCACCATAACCCCTACTTTACATTTTGATTAATTTCTCCTCATCATTGTTGCACTTTCTTTGTGGTCACACCTTGGAGCTAAACAGTTAAGGGAGCTTAACTCAACTTTTTGTTCATCTACTACAATTTAGCTTGGACTGTGCACCAAGCAGGGACCATTTTGGTCATCATGTTGAAGCTGCAAGCAGCCATTATGGGGGTACAGGAAAAAAAAAATCATAGTGTAGAGATAATTGTGTACCAGTTGTCATCTTGAGGAAGGAATGGCCCAAGAGCACAAAGTTTTTTCCCCTAAGAGAGGAGTGTACATTAAGCAACACCAGAACAAATAGAGACTCAAAGTTCCACTTGAAATAAAATTTATAATTGTTTCTTTAGCAGTTCATTCACCTTGTCAAGAGACTGGGGATGATATCAATTACAAGGCAAAGTCTGGTTATGTACTGGTAATTAATAACTACATCTTCCCCAAGAGGCCAGATGGTGAACGCCATTGGTCAGGAGAAGATGTGAAAGGTCTCAAGAGTCTCTTTGATGATTTTAATTTCACTACCAAGATTTATGACAACTTGGAACAAAGAGAAATCAAAGGATTACTGCAAGATACATCAGAGAAAGACTTTGGCAGATATGACTGTTTTGTTTGTGTTATCCTTAGTCATGGTTCCAAAGACAGAATCTATGGCACTGATGATATTTCAATCAACATTGAGGCAATTACTTCCTGTTTTTTCGCGAAATGAGTGCCCATCTCTTGAAGGGAAACCAAAAATATTTCTGATCCAAGCTTGCCGTGGCAGTCAACAGGATGTGCTAACAATTGAGAGCGACAGCGAGCCTATTCCACGCCAAGAAGCTCATCTCTGCCAGCTGATGCTGATTTTCTGATCTGTTTTGCCTCAGCTCCCAATCATCAAAGCTACAGGCAGCCAGAAATTGGTTCTTGGTTTATTTCAGCAATTGTTAAAGTCTTCAAAAAGTATGCAGAAAGAGAGCACCTCATGGATATGATGCTGAGGGTCAATGACCGTGTTGCTAATTATTTAGGCCAAATGGGCCAAACAAGCCTCAAGCAAATTCCTTGCCAAGTCTGTATGCTGAGAAGGAAAGTGTTTTTCAATCCTACTCATAACACTCCATGAACTCTTTGCAATAAATGTTGTCATGTGAATGAGTTTCAGGTTATTTGGAAAAAATTGTTCAATATTTGAAACAAGTTTGGAACAAGGAAAAATCTGAGTACATCATTAGAATTTAAACTACTGGTACAGCTAGTTCTTGCTTTGTGATGGTAGACTAGGCAGTCCACTTCTGTTGACTGGATGCATCAAGGAAAATTGAAAAAGGTTTGAGTTATACATTGTCAAATTGTCAATGTGCTCGTCAATCAAATTTTCTTGCAGTGTAGAGGAGTCTAGTAAAAAATAGAACATCCAGAAGTAGCAGCTAAGCTAGGCAGGAGAGCTCTGTGAAAGCACAATGCATTGTAGTTTAATGAATCCTATGTCTGCAAAACATAACTGGATTCACAGTTGTTTTGTTCAGTGTGAAGGGAAGAAAAGAGGAAGAGAACCATTTCTTGTTTCTCTGTAAATTCAATATTTTGAACTACAGTACAGTTTGTTTTGACTTTCCACAAATTGAAAGTCATATTGTTCAAGTCATGGAGGGTAAAATTGCATTAAAATTGACTTCATGAAGGGAAATGAAAACCGATTCAAGTTAGCAGGTGTGGGAGTTATTTGACCCTTTAACTCCCAAGATCTCATTAGTAATTCTCCTTACTGTCTGCCATACAGTTCTTGTGATGTTAGTTTGGGTAATTTGGTATTGGATCAACTTATAATTGCCTAACTGATATTATTTTTCTTTACTCTCATCACTTTTCTGCTTGATATGGTATTGATATTGTAAGGAGAAATTCTGTCTTGGTCACTTATGGGAGTGAAAGGGTTAGGGGTTGGGGGGGGGAGGGTATTTTAGTGAAGGGTAACAGGGTCCCATCCCTTCCACTCCCACACTGGTTTGGTTTCATCAGGCCTCCCCCCTTCTACCCTGTCATGGGGTCATAGGGTGTACTGCATGTGTGGTTGTCATGCAACCATCTGGATTATATTTTTGTTAAGGAATAAAAGGTAGAGAGAGTAAGAAATCATCAATTTAGTTTCAGAGAAGGGGTTTTTCATAGAAAAGAAAATGAATGATAATGTATTGCAATACAGTAGGCAGTTTGCATTTGTGTGTGTTTACTCAGTGTATAAATTTGTAATCTTTGCAATGAACTGATTTTAAATGATCCAGGTTTGCTAAACATGCATAGTTGATCATACCAACCACTGAGGAAATTCTGAGCTGTCATCAGTCCTTTCAAGCAGATTGTATTCAATCTTTCATTCCAGGCATAAAAATAATTTTCCCTGAGAATTTGTCAACAGTTTTTATAAAGTATCATTTTTTTGGCATGATAGTGGTTTTCACTCAGCTTTGTTTTTAAGTGCTCATTAAATACCATAGCATGTAAAATCTACACAGTCTGCTTGCTGAATACAATTAAATTATTAGGTTGAATTTTTTATTTAAATGTCTTCTATTGCATAAAAAATAAATAAACATCCAAAGTAGAAAAGATGAAGATATTTATATTAGGAAAGAAGAATTGAACAAAAAAGACTTGTCCAGTTGATCAGTCACTTCAATGAAGTGATTTGTAGTTGTTATAATATAAGTAATATGGGAATTGCTGGATAGTTTATAATAATCTTGTGAACTAGGTACCTGCACACAGAGGCTTTTCAGGTACAATGAAGATATTAAAGTTGTTATACAATTTTGTCTTGGGGTCCTAGATTCTTTACACATTCCTAGCTTAATGTTTCCTGGATTACAACACATGCCATGTTTTATCAGTTTCAATATCAAACTTGCTACAAGAAAAATTATATTATGTGGTGGTGGTAGGGGAGGGGCACTTGTGTCAACTTTTGCTGGGTATGTGCTGCTTGCCTCTCAGAGCCTGGACCCCATTTTAGTCTATTCTCTGCTCAATTGAAGACCCCAATTTTTTACTTTTTACTGGAATCATCCCATTTTTAAATCCCCAGTTACCAGATTTTTCATATCCCATTCCCACACCTATGCAACCCCATGCTATTCACTTAAATGAAAATGCAACCTCATTGTTGGCAATCACGCAATAGAAAATTTGACCACATCCAGAAGCACATCCCTATAAGCAAATTATTAAGAAGAACCCCCTTCCCTTAATAGCTATGATTACAGTTAGAGGGAGTAAGTTTCTTATGAAACTGGTACTGCATCAGTGGGAGAATACAACAAGCTATTGTGTTATCATCAACTGAAACGGATATAGAGGCGATCCTCCCAGTTATGAACACTAATGAACTAGTAGTTGAAATAAGGCATAAAAAAACTCAGGCCCATACGGGCCCCGAGTTATTTTTTCAGGCCTTATTTTCAACCGCAGTGCACATATATGATCTCTATATATTTACAGTCATTATCAACCAAGTTGATAACGTAGATTGGCCACCATGAAGAGTTTCAAATCTGACGTTGGGAGCATCAGCCCTTCGTCAGAACAAATGATGAAGGGTAAACGGTCAAAATATCAGCCATGAAATTCTTTACAGTGGCCAATCTATGTTATCAACTCAGTTGATAATACCAAATTATTATGTTTACAGTTACTTAATATGCATTTACTTGATTATCCCTCAATAGTTTAACAATCAACGTATAATGTGAATATCACTAAGTATTCCCAACAGTATCCATAAACCTGGCTAAGATTAAGCAGTTCTGACCTCTGACATGAGGGAGGTTGGGGGATGGGGAGGTAGAAGGTGGTCCTTCACCAGCATAGGACACGGTCATTTTCTTAAATGTTTGTACTCTTTCTGGGATTAAAGGAGTATACACATTTAGATCCCATAGCCTCCACCCATATCTTTTCCACGGCCATCTCTCACCTATCAAATATCAACTAGCGCGGCAATTTTGCATGTAATCACGATTTGAATCGAAAACAGAAAGATGACTTGTGAGAAATTTTAAAAGCAAGAGTGTGACGCAAAACCTGCCTGATTGCAGTCGGTGCAGCCCGCTGACCACAATAACATTGCCACTACTTCCGGATGTTACCCGTCTTCTTTCCAACATCACGAAACATCCTCGACAATTTCGTACACATCAGAAGTATTTTTGAGTGAAGCTTATTTCTGGTATGTCCAAGTTCAACATAATTGTAGAAAATTGTTCGCAGATTGTTGCTAGCGATTATGCCACCGTGCAAGTTGCACCACATGAAGGTAAGAATATTTATTAACCAGCCGCCTGTTGCTAATTAAGTTCATATACAGTATTGTTTATTGAGTTTTGCTGAATTATCCCCACTCCTAAGAACATTTGAAAATTTGCACTATTTGCCAAGTGAACGTATTAGTTAAGCCAGATTTGGCGAAAAAATACATAGTAAACGCGACGCAGATTTTTCCCTCTATGATAAGTTTCCGTCGATTGCCAAAGTCTGAAATCGAAACTATCCACCCTCGAAAAATCGAAATAACCACACAAATGACGCTTTGTTACAGTCATAATTTTTTTTTTAAAAGAGAGGCCTATAAGGGCAACTGAAAGTAGAGAGCACCCTTTTTCCATCTCTAAAAAGAACCCATTTTATTCCCCTGGGCGCTTCCCGTTAGCATGTGGAAAGGGTTGCTTATGCATAGCCACCTCCCTCCAATCAGTAGGGACCTTAAGCAGTCAGGACGGCAACGCCAAGGAAGACTTCTATTAAAAATGAAATTTCTACCTATAATTAGAATTTCAAAAATGGCTGCATGTGATTACCGTCTCATACAGTGCCACACCTCAACTTCAGCATAACGTATCAAAAAAGCGTTGAGTTCCAAATAGAAATTAAAATAATTTGCCGTCGCGGTTTCGGTTCGCAGACGACGCAAATTGTGGTGATTTCACGTTGTTGTTTTGCATAGGACGGCTCAGAAATGTACAAACGCACGTGCTGAGCTATTGTTCTACCCATCATATCTTTTGTTTTTCCATGTCCTCGTTGCCGTCGCCGTCGTGGTTTGCTTAAGGTCTCTAGTAATTAAATAGAACAGGGGTCGATCCCTCCTAAATGCTAAATTTCAGCGTGAAGACTTCGAATGAATAACTCTTACTTGGTGTTTTCCGCTGACCACTCACAATCCCATCCTTTCGTTTACTTCCGCTTCGCTCCGTCGTTTATCGTGAGAGTCGTTACTTTGGTTTTTACGCACCGTTTTTGACTGGAAAACCTTCTAGCATGGCCAAATTCAATGTAAATGTAGAACAGTGTAAAGGAGCTGTCTTGGTTGGTGATCATGCGAAACTGACTATTGGGCCGACTGGTAAGATATCAGAAGGTACGCAACTTTCTCTGTTTGTGAGGGAAGTTTTCGATCGGTGCTTCGACACATGAATCAGAATAATTCATAACTTGTGGCTTGTTCGAAACATGATGATAATCTTCCATTTAAATACGTTATAGTGGGAACAATATCAAACCTGATTTGATGTAGTTTAAAATCAAAGAAAATCGATTGAGTATCAATTGTTAGCCAAGTCAGCCATGTTATCGGCCCACATCACGGCAAATTGCCTCTTTCTCCACTTAATTTTTCCGCCTACGTTATTTTTCAAACATTACTTCATTTCCTGTTCTCCCGCTCGAACTACATCATCTAAACTAAAACCTCGACGATGCAGTACACAATTTTAATTCGTTCACTTCAACTCGAAAAAATCGGAAGGAGCTTGAAGAGTTATACTCCAGGAATTAATTAATACGGTGTCATTTATGATAACCTCATTTTATTCTGCATTTTGGCCCTTTCTTTTCATATGGGTTTCTGTTATACCGGTCAAAGATTTACTTACATCCTTGATTACCGAGAGAAACCTCCTAAGTGAAAATGAAATGAGAAAACCCCTTTCCAACTCCTAAAATAGCAACAACTTTGTAAAAGAGTAATCATGACGGTTGCATTTGCATTTATTTGCTTCACGAATCGCCTTCTTTTGGGATCTCAGGCTTAGGTAAACCGACTTTGAACAAATTGACCACAATTTTCCATTGTCTAGTTAGCCCTTTACACCCTCATATCAGTATAAATATTCTCCATGCCAGATGCCAGTCACTCTTGATATTGTATTGATATTATAGGGAGAGATTCTGTCTTGGTCTTAAAACCTTATTGATCAGAGAAGTGGCACCTCAAAGTTTTGAATAATGTTGATGTCATTTTTATGATCAATAAGGTGAAGTACATCAGAAAATTGTGTTTTTCAACATAGTAGGGATTATGAAGCATTGCCTTACATGCTGCATGATTTCTGTTATCTACAACCTAGCTTATTGAAAATCTAGAAAGTTATTGTTGGAAGCCTACCTGATAGTAACCACAGATTATTGCAAAGATAATTGACTGACTTTGTAACTTTGTTAGGAGTACTAAACCAAGAGCACACCCCAGAGCAAGCAGCAAGAACTAAAACTAGTTGTAAGTAGAGTTTATTTATCAAGTTTACCTTTTCCAATGTCTGTTTTCTGGGTGGTCTGCCATTCATTTCTAAATATTTCAGCTCCAATAATGTAAATTAAGGTGAAATTTAACACTATTCTCCAAATTAAAATCTGGGTTAAATTTTTCTGACTTCTCATCTTTCTTTTGCTTAAAATTGTGTTGAGACTGTAAGGAGAATTTCCTTCATGGTCATGGTTGGTAGCAACAAGGTTAAAGGAGCTACTCCATAGTTTTACTGTCTTAACCCTTTAACTCCCAAGATCTGATTGTTAATTCTCCCATTTAGCTGCCACACATCTCCTTGTAAATTAGTTACAAGAATTTGGTATTTGATTAAGTAACCATTTTTACCTGATAAGTTTGTGTCTTCTCAGAACCTGTTTGTTGGAATATCTATGGATGTTATAAGAGAAGTTACATGTTAATCACTTCTGGGAGTTGAAGAGTTAAAGAAGTAAGATCAGATCTTTTAATTGTCTCATATGTTTCCTCTCTGTGCTTAGTCCTTCAATCCAAACAGAAACTTAGTCATTTGAATTCACTTATTCATTTCACTTATTTTTTTTCTAGCTCATGCACCTTTTCAAGAGTCTGGGGATGATATTGATTTAAAAGTAAAGTCTGGTTATGTGCTAGTAATTCATAACTACAGCTTCCCTAAGAGGGAGGAGGCTGTACGCCATGGGTCAGAGGAAGATGTGAAAAATCTTTGTAGCCTCTTTGATGATTTCAACTTCAAAACCCGAATTGTAAATAACTTGACTCAAAGTCAGATGGTGGAAATACTCAGTGAAACTGCAGAGAAAGACTTCAGCAGATATGATTGTTTCTTGTGTGTAATCCTCAGCCATGGTCTCAAAGATGAGATTCTTGGAATTGATGATGAGAAGATTAAAATTGAAGCAATCACTTCCAATTTTCGCCGAGATGCATGTCCTTCTCTTGAGGGGAAACCAAAAATATTTCTGATCCAAGCTTGCCGTGGCAATAGACAGGATAGGGTACCTATTGAGAGCGACAGTGAGCCTGTTCCATGTGCAAGCTCATCTCTTCCAGCTGATGCTGATTTTCTGATCTGTTTTGCCTCTGCCCCTGGTCACCAAAGCTACAGGCAGCCAGAGCTTGGTTCTTGGTTCATTTCAACAGTTGTGGCAATTTTTAAAGAGTATGCAGAAAGGGAGCATCTTATGGATATGATGCTGAGAGTCAACAATCATGTTGCAAATTATTTCAGCAAAACAGGCCTCAAGCAAATACCCTGCCAAGTCTGCATGCTGAGAAGGAAAGTGTATTTTAGTCCAAAATATAATTAACCCATCATGAAATGCTCATGACAAATTCTGTCTTTGTCGTGTATATGAATGTTTACTTAATATGTTTGTGTAATGAGAAAATTGTAGATGAAACATTGCCAGTGTACCTGTCCACTGGAGCTCAGAAGTGTAGTTACATGAACTTTGTTAAATTCTCCCACAGACCACATCAGTAACACTGTATATTATGTTACAGTGTAATATATACAGTCCAAAATTTTCAATCCTTGCTGTATGGATGAAGTCTTTGAAAAAAGCAATGCTGCATGATGCAGGAGTTTTAGTCTTATTGTAACAATAGTGGGCACACAAAGATAAACATGCTGTTCACTAAGTCATAGAGAAAATTGTAGGTGCTGTTCAAAGATAGTTGTAAAGCAGTGTCTGATTCAGGATTTCCACTCCTCAAAAAGAAATCAAACAACATTCAAACCAGATTCACTCCTTTGAACTGAGCAATGAGTTAGCTTTGGTAAGATAAGTTATATTGATATATGGTAAGGTAGTCCTGGACTGGGTTGTTCAAAACACAAGTAAACTGTTGGTGTAAGTTTTAAATTTGGTTTTATAGCACTGCAAAAGAATTTTTTGTTTGGATTTTTCCCCATCATTTTTTAGTCATAATGAGATAAAACCCAATAGAAGCCTAACTCTTATATGTACTCTTCTACACAAGAAATTGAAATCAATGTTTACTTTTAATCCTAGATTAACATTTACCCCCTTTTAAATAACCCAGCCCTGAGGTAAATCTGAGGGTTCCAATTGGTTCTTACATGGTCCAGATTTTGCCACACAGACTGTCTTATATGGTCATGAGATGTGTATCTATTTTTGCAAATACTGGCAATAAAAAAAAAAACAAGTTTGGTGCAAGTACCATATACACTTTGTTAAGCTACTTGCTAACCTTGCTTGATCAAGCTGTACAGTAGAAAAATTAGCCCTCAATCATTTTTGTATGGACCTTGCTGCCCTTTGGCTGTAATTCTACAATATTGGGCCAGTACTGCCCTCACACTTCATTAATAAGAAATTATAGTTGGGATCATCCAAGACTGATATCTTAAAATTTTGGTAATTCTTCCACAATTTATTACCTCAGGTTATGCACCAGATATGGAATCTGCATACAGTTTGGGTTTTTTTTTTGTATCAACTGTCTTCTTAGTCTGATATTTTTATCAATTTGAAGGAAAGTGGTCTGAAGGTAAACTCTAATTTCACATGAGTAGTGTCTTCTCCCTTTTCCAGCTGAGTGAAAACTACAAAATTAAATTACATGGATAAATGTTGATGCAACCTTATTGCTATGCAAATGGTTATACTGTATGGTCATTCATTAGGGCTAAGTAGCATTTCAGTAAAAAATATACTTGTATTTGAAGCTTGGATTTATTGTTTCTTTAAAAAACAGTAGTTTTCCAATAAAACAAAATGCACATGCCTTTGGCAAATAAGTTCTAAATAAAGATTGCTCAAAGGACTTTGTCATTAGCCTTTATCTGTAATGATTCTCTCCTTAATCCTCCCTTCCCCCTTCCCCACCCCAGTGGAGGCAAATTTATATCTGGGTGGAGAAGGGTATATAATTCGTGTCAAGGTATCATATAGGCATCCACATATCCCACAATATTCACACTTATTTGGCAATAAAGTGCACCCTATAAATAATACCCCCTGTAAGTTCTTATCCCTTTAACTCTCAAAAGTGATTAACATGCAACTTTTCCCTAAAATATCTGTACATTTTTCAACAAACATGTTATGAGAATGTTCAAACTTATTGGGTAGAATTTTTTGCCTTGATCTTGCACAAAATTCTCATAACTAATTTACAAGGAAATGTGTAGCAGCTAGAGGGGAGAATTAACCATCAGATCTCACAAGTTAAAGGGTTAAAAACTGTTTTTCAGTCAAATACTGTTGTACACCCACAGACACTCCTGCATTTCTCATGAAGATCTTTACATATACCTATGGATAACTTGTACCCATATATCCACAAAGAGTAACCACTCACAGAAAACCTCTTTACTTTATTTGCAAAATAATTAACATTGAAGGCATCAGTACATACACATTAACACAACTGCCAAAATTTGTTTCAGCCAGAAACTTGTTTATTTTCTTCAGTCATTAATAATCATGATGTTATCCCACTCATTGATCTGTATGGCCTTGTACAAATATATGAAACATGTTTCTCTATTATTTTGTTCACGGGATGCTCAAGTTAAGATAAATCTCCAATGATTATTGTTAGGGCCACTGCTTTGCCAAGCAGCTGGGCTAAAAAAGATTGAATAGCTGGCAATACAGAAAACAATACTGAATACACCAACTGGCAACAGGTTCCATGCTGTCATACATATGTTTTTTTTCTGTGTTTTCTCATGATGTGTTTCCTTTCAATTTCAGTAGTTTTACGTGAGCGAGCACATGATAACACAAGTTGCTGGACTCTCATCCCCAGTTTCCACGGTTTACGCAAGGAACGCAAAAAATGGTGCGATTTGTGAGTAAATCGCACCAATTAGAGCCAATCAGATTACAGGGACCACCAGTGATTTATTTATTTATTTATTCGTTTATTTATACACGGTAAAAAATTCATCAGGTACAATAAATTCTAATACAATGATACATCCTACAACCTAAAAATCCTAATCCTAACGTTATATTAACTTACAATATGCTATTTAAACAAAAAACCTGATTTCCATGAATGCTTAAAATTTTTTATAGAGAAGGCGTTTAAATTGAGTTAATGAACCAGACTCTCTAATGCTACAGGACAAGCTGTTCCAAAGGGTTGCGCCGTTGTAACTAAAACTATTTTTCACGTAATTAGTTCTTGGAAAGGGGACAACAAGTTTGCTTTCCGAGTCCCTCAGGGAATAGTTTGATTAATTTCGCTTTATAAATTTAGACGTGAGATATTCGGGAACCAGCCCGTTTTAAGACTTGAAAACCATTAAAGCGTTCTGAATTTGACGTTGAGATTTCAAGTCTTTCCAGCTGAGTTTGTGAAACAAAGAATCGACATCTACGTTATAGTTTGATGAAGTTGTTACTAAGTTTTGTAGTTTTTGTAGCTTGTTAGATAATGTTTTGCCACAATTACCCCAGACTAGGCTGCAGTAATCAAAGTGAGATTGAACTAGTGAGTTGTATATATTGGGTAGGGTGGATTGCGGCACAAATGGCTTGACTCGCTTAATGGCTCGAATTGTAGAAGCGATCTTTTAACACAGTTTATCAGTGTGGGAATGCCACGTTAAATTTTCATGGATATATATTCCAAGTGATTTAACAGTAGAAACTTGTTCAATCGGAATATTATCAATGGAGAGTTCAGTGTATCAGGCAGAGTACTTTAAAATCTATACTTGGAGCCGATCAACATAAATTCAGTTTTTGTAGCGTTCAAGGTAAGTCTGTTAGACACAAGCCATTTGCTAAGCTTTTCAAGGTCGTGAGATAGACTAGGTTGAATCAAATGCAAATCAGAACCAGCATAAGTAATGTGGGTGTCATCAGCTTACATTCTAGGTATACTGAACGAAAGACAGTTAGGCAAATCGTTGATATAAATTAGAAATAAAAGAGGGCCAAGGATCGTTCTCTGTGGCACACCACATTTCAGAGTGGTGAAGTAAGAGAGACAACCGTTAACTGAGCACCGTTGTGTACGATTTGTCAAATACGATTTAAACCAATTAAGAGTTTTCCTTTGAATTCCACACCGATTCATTTTAGTTAGTAATATCTCATGATCAACAGTGTCAAATGCCTTTTTTAAGTCGAGAACACCACGGCATTGACGTAGCCACGATGGATAGTAAACGCCCAACTGTCATTGGCTTCTAGAAGTGAAGTAACAGTTGAATGTAGAGACCACAAACCAGATTGTTATTTAAAGATGATTTCTTCACTATTTAAGAAGTTGTATAACTGATCGTACACAATCCTCTCGAACACTTTGGCGACTACGGAAATGACTGAGATAGGTCGATAGTTATTTAAGTCAAATGACTCGCCCTGTTTAAACAACGGAGTCACTCTGGCACATCTCCAGTCGTCAGGAAATCAGGAATTTTTTAAATAGATCGCATAACGGGCCTGAAACAATATCAGCACACTCACGAATCAACCTAGCCGAGATATTATCTAGTCTTGTAGCTTTAGGTTTTGACAATCTATTTAGATGGGTAAAGATATCACTGGTAGTAATTGGACGAAAACAAAATTTTTATGAGATGAATTTTTTTTTCTAGAATTCTCTGAAAATAATGGAAAATCGGGTAAAGATTACAAACCTAAATTTGGGATATGTTTCACTTGTAGGATAAATTGTCTGATTTTACCCCATTTTTACAGAATTCTTGGAAAAATGCAAAAAACCGGGACAAAGATTGAATATGACAAGTTAGGATGTATTCCATTGGCAGGATGAGTACTCAGATTTTACCCCGTTTTTCCAGAATTGACTCAACAAACGGAAAATCGGGGTGAAGATTGATTATGAAAAGCTAGGATGTATCCCATATGTGGGATTAATTGTCAGATTTTACCTTACTTGTCTCTAATAAACGAAAAAACGAAAAATTAGGGCTAAAGATTTGATTTGGCAAAATTGGAAACTCGGAGTAAAGATAGCATATGTGAGCTAAGGGTATTATGAATTCTCAGAGTTTACCCCATTTTTCTAGAACTAATCTATCAAAACAAAGGAAAATCTGGGTAAAGATTTGACATCACAACTTGGGTTATATTCCACTTGCATGATGAGTTGTCAAAACTTATCCCGTTTTCTAGAATTCGTTGAACAAATGGAAGATCAGGGACAGATTGGACATTGCAAGTCATGATATTAACCACTCGTGGAAAGAATTTTCACGGTTTACCCCGTTTTTCTAGAGTTATTTGAACAAATCGGGATAGAGCTCATTACATACCATAGCATGTAAAATCTACACAGTCTGCTTGCTGAATACAATTAAATTATTAGGTTGAATTTTTTATTTAAATGTCTTCTATTGCATAAAAAATGAATAAACATCCAAAGTAGAAAAGATGAAGATATTTATATAAGGAAAGAAGAATTGAACAAAAAAGACTTGTCCAGTTGATCAGTCACTTCAATGAAGTGATTTGTAGTTGTTATAATAAAAGTAATATGGGAATTGCTGGATAGTTTATAATAATCTTGTGAACTAGGTACCTGCACACAGAGGCTTTTCAGGTACAATGAAGATATTAAAGTTGTTATACAATTTTGTCTTGGGGTCCTAGATTCTTTACACATTCCTAGCTTAATGTTTCCTGGATTACAACACATGCCATGTTTTATCAGTTTCAATATCAAACTTGCTACCAGAAAAATTATATTATGTGGTGGGGGGGAACTTGTGTCAACTTTTGCTGGGTGTGTGCTGCTTGCCTCTCAGAGCCTGGACCCCATTTTAAGGAAAATGCAACCTCATTGTTGGCAATCATGCAATAGAAAATTTGACCACATCCAGAAGCACATCCCTATAAGCAAATTACTAAGAACCTCCCTTCCCCCAATGGCTATGATTACAGTTAGAGGGGAGTAAGTTGCTCATGAAACTGTGGTGTTGCATCAGTGGGAGAATATAACGAGGTAATGTGTTGTTATCAACTAGACTGGAAATAGAAGCGATCCTTGCAGTTATGAACACTAATGATCTAGTAGCTGAAAAGGGCCTGAAAAAATTTTTGTTCAGGCCTTTTTTTCAACGGCAGTGCACATATATGATTTTCATATATTTACAATTATTATTATATACTCAACAAAATATTGCGTTTCTGATTGGTCAATGATGAATGCATAAATAGGTTATAGAGTGCAATAGAGGTTATAGAGTGCAATACGGAGAAGTTGCCATGGAAACACCGGGGAAGCGCCAAATTTGAACACCAAATTATAAAAAAATGGCTGACAGCCGGTTTGCTTTGTCGAGAATATAATAAATAAAAAATCGTATGAACCTACTCGTGCATTTCGTGATTTATGGTCACTCGTGATGTTTTGAAAGTTCTCAAAATTGCACGAGCCGTAGGCTCTATCACACGTGCCCATAAATCACGAAATGCACTCGCGTTCATACGATTTCCTATACTTATCAACTGAGTTAATAACGTAGGTTGGCCACCATGAAGAGTTTCAAATCTGACGTTGGGAGCATCAGCCCTTCGTCAGAACAAATGATGAAGGGTAAACGGTCAAAATATCAGCCATGAAATTCTTTACAGTGGCCAAGCTATGTTATCAACTCAATTGATAATACCAAATTATTATGTTTACAGTTACTTAATAT